CTACTAGAACTGGTGGCATAGTGGTGGAGATTGGGGGAGCCCAAGGAACAAGGAAGCAAAACAATGCCCCCCTGAACAAAGGACATTTGGAACAGATCCCAGAACTGTACTGAATTATAGGATTGAATATGTATATCTATAGCATAATCCTGAACTTCAGTTTAGGAATAGAACATAAGAAGAGCCTTGCTGGGTCAGACCAGTGGTCCATCTAGTCCAGTATCCTGTCTCATAACAGTTTGGTGTAGCGGTTAGGAGTGCAGATTCTAACCTGGGAGAACCGGGGTTGATTCCCCACTCCTCCACATGTAGCTGCTGGCATGACCTTGGGTCAGTCACAAGTTCTCGCAGAACTATTCTCTCACGAGCAGTCCTCGAAAGAGCTCTCTCAGCCCCACCTGCCTCACAGTGGGTCTGTTGTGGGGAGGGGAAGGGAAAGGAGATTGTAAACCGCTCCGAGACTCCTTCGAGTAGTGAATGGCGGGGTATAAATCCAATCTCTTCTCTCTCTGCTTCATACGGTGGCCAACCAGTTAGTTTGGAGGGTGTACAGGCCAAGGCCTTCCCCTGATGTTGTTTCCTGTGTCTGTGATTCACTGGTTGACTGCCTCTGAATGTGGAGGTTCCCATGGCTAGTAGACACTGATAGACCTCTTCTCCATGAATCTGTCTAGTCCCCTTTTAAAGTGGTCTATATATATTTCCCGGCAGCAAATTCCACATTTTAATCACTTGTTGTGTAAAGTAATATATCCTTCCGTTCATCCTGAATCTACTGTTTACAGACAGTTTAAAAACAGATCCTGATTCCCCACTCCTCCACTTGCAGCTGCTGGATGACCTGGGACAAGTCATAATTCTGCCAGAGATGTTCTTGAAAGAGCAGTTCTTGAGAGTGCTCTGTTAGCCCCGCCTGTTGTGTCTGTTGTGGGGGGGGGAAGGGAAAGGAGATTGTAAGCAGCTCTGAGACTCCTCCGGGTAGTGAAGGGCAGGCTATAAATCCAATCTCCTCCTCCTCCTCCTCCTCCTCCTCCTCCTCTTCTGCACATAACTGAGAGGTTCTACACAGGGTTGCTTGGAAACTAATCTCTCGCCCATCAACAGGCTCGCTAAGCCCATTAAGAAACAATAGCCCTAGCTCACTGCCTCATACCCTCTTTATCCAGATGCTACTCTCCAGTCGGCAGGTTACTAGCTTTCAATACTGACCACTCCTTAGTTCCTCTCCCCTCTTCCTGCCAGCCAATAGCATGTTTTTGGGACAGACTAGTAGGAGGTGGGCCAAGACATGTGACCAGCCTGGCACAACCCCCCAGGTAAAGGTAAAGGTTCCCTTGCTCGAAAGCCAGTCGAATCCGACTCTAGGGTTGCGGTGCTCATCTCCGTTTCAAAGCCGAAGAGCCAGTGCTGTCCGAAGACGTTTCCGCGGTCATGTGGCCGGCATGACTAAACACCAAGGCGCACGGAACGCTATTACCTTCCCACTGAAGTGGTACCTATTTATCTACTTGCAATTTCTTTCTTTCTAACTGCTAGGTTGGCAGGAGCTGGAACTAGAGACGGGAGCTCACTCCGTCATGCGGCAGCTCGGTCTCAAACTGCTGGACTACCGACCTTCCACAGCTTGCAGTTCAGCGTCTTAACCACTTGAGCCACCAAGCCCTCCCCCCTAAAAGGGACACCCAGACATGCGCTCGCTCTCTTCCTCTTGCTCCCCCCCCAATGACCTCTATAATCTCTGCTTCCTGACACATGTGGCCATCTGGTCAAACCCCCCCCCTGCCTCAAGACTCTGGAACTGCAGCCAGAGTCCCACATGCTTTCTGCTGGTTCAGTCTGCACGCTTCCTTTTCCTAGCATAAATCCCATTTTCTAGAGTTTCCTTATTTTTCCATTTGGAAGACTTCACCTTTTCAGAACCTATTTCTAAAGTATGAACGGATTTTGTTCCAAAAGACAATGCATGTGTGTGTGTGGGGGAGGGGGGGAGAGAGAACCAGAACAAAACAGCTATCATTCTCACACCAAGATTTCAAACACAATGCATCTGTTCATATCTGAGGAGTTAAAAGTGGGGAGGAAGCAACTGCGTGCAAAATCCAGGGTCTCAGACACAGAAGGGTTGATCTTAAAACCTAATACTGAAGGTTTGGGGGGGGGGGTAGGGTTTCCAGTTCTGGGTTGGAAAATGCCTGGAGACTTTGGGGGTGGATCCGGGAGACGGTGGGGTTTGGGGTGGGGATGGCATGATGCCACAGAACCCACCGTTCAAAGCAGCCGTTTTCTCCAGGGGAGCTGAACACTGCCAGCTGGAGATCAGTTGTAAAAGCGGGAGATCCCCAGGCCCCACCTGGAGGCTGGCAACCCTACTGGGGGGCTGTGGCTCAGTGGTAGAATGTCTGCTTTGCATGCAGAAGGTCCCAGGATCAATCCCTGGCATCCCCAGTTGATGCAATAGTCAGTGATGTGAAAGACCTCTGCTTGAGACCCTGGGGAGCCACTACGACACTGACCTTAATGTACTGATCGTCTGAATTGGTATAAGGGAGCTCCCCACATATACCCCCAAGAGCACTTTGGTCGGGGACCCAAAACCGTCTGGTGATCCCCGGGAGGTAAAGCTTGCTGTGACCAGGGCAAGATCCTTCTCAGTGGTGGCCCCTACCTGGTGGAACGGACTCCCGGAGGAGATCGGGGCCCTGCGGGACCTTATGCAGTTCCGCAGGGCCTGCAAGACGGAGCTCTTCCGCCAGGCTTTCACATAGGGGCCGCCGCAGCCACCACCACCAACGGTGGCAATACCATTGGAATTAGGGATCGCCCTTGGAAGCTCAGCCATAAATTTGTGTGGCATTGACAACGTGGGATTGGCATGAACAATCTGCTGGACAGTGGTACCCAAATGGGGTTGATTTGAAGATGCCATCATAACCACTCAAGACCATCTTGTTCACAGAAAGCACTTTATTATTGTTATTACTGTTATTATTTATGATTTTATTGTCTTATTGGGTTTTATGCATGGGCTCTTGCCCCTTGTAAGCCGCCCTGAGCCCGCTTGTGGGGAGGGCGGGGTAAAAATGCCTAAATAAATAAATAAAATAAATTCATGTGGTTCATGTATCGGGGACTGCACCTGGGTCTTTGGCATACAAAGCATGTGCTCTTCCCTTAATCTCCGTCCCTCCCAAAGGCATGATTGCTTGAGTGAGCCATAATTTACAAATACATTTTACCAGTCCACCAATCTACCTCATACTGTTTCTTAATTTATTCGTTTTAAGCAGATTACTAAAATATAGGGAATGCTAGGCCCCGTTTGCAGAAATCTATCACAGATGCATAAAATCTCCCAGCTAAAAGAGTGATAGGTCCGCTATTGTCTTCTAATACAAGAGGTAATGTCTCCAACATGATTTATAATTTGGAGCAAAGGAAGAATTAAAAGATTTCTAGGCTCAGAAAAATGACTGCATTCAAAGGTCACATGATATGGTGTGTCTACCTGCACCACAGTCACATACTCTATCTAAAGATACCTCCCTTTCAAAACTCTAGACGGTGGAGAGACAGTTTGGTGTACTGGTTAGGAGCAGGGACTCTAATTTGGGAGAACCGGCTTTGATTCCCCACTCCTCCACGTGCAGCTGCTGGCGTGACCTTGAGTCAGTTACAAGTTCTTTCAGAGCTGTTCTCTCACAAGTAGTTCTTGAACGAGCTCTCTCAGCCCCACCTACCTCACAGGGTGTCTGTTGTGTGGAGGGGAAGGGAAAGGAGATTGTAAGCCGCTCTGAGACTCCTTCAGGTAGTGAGGGGCGGGGTATAAATCCAACCTCCTCCTCCTCCTTGTATTGGGATTCAATCATCCCTGATCGAATCACTCCAGAGACTGGCTGAGCTTGGAGCACAAGGACAATAGCCTGCCAGGATTCTGAAAGTAATGAACCTAGTAGTAATATTATGTAAATAACCTATCACTGGCAGTGGGTGTGTTTGGGTGTGGCAATTGCATGTTATTTAACAGAGCTGAGGCTCAGGAGTCTTGTCTTGTGCTAATAAATCACTAATAAAGTAGAACTGATCGTCAGGCTTGTGGTCTGTTCATCCATGGAACCCACTATTTAATCATCTTCTTCTTCCTCCTCTTCCTCTTCTTCTGCATTAAGGTGCGCCCACATAAAGGCATACATTCATTCTGAAAGCTCTTTTTGGACAGGATTCCTTTATAACTCTATTACTTCACAGATTTAAGGAGATGGAACTTCCTCCTTGCCTCAGGAATGAGATTCTGGGGGCAAGAACTGTGGCGCACGCTGCTTTCTAAGTTCATCCCCCCACCCGAATCTGCAGAGTCACAGAAACATTTGTGCATGCACCAAGGCTCAAGTATTGCATGTAAGAATCAGGTCCCGGTCACACGAGCGGGATGATCCGCTGCCGAAGGAGAGAAATTAGAGTCGGAGCAAAAAGAACCGCAGGAGCGCAATCCGACGTGCCCCTGCGGCTCCGCGCTCCGCGCTCCAGCAGCCGATCACACGTTGTGCAGCAAACCAGCAGTAGTGCAGTTGTGCGCATGCGTGTCATGGGGAACGGTGCTGGCTGCGACCGGGCTACCAGCACTTCCCCGACCAGACACCTGGAGTTGCCACGCATCATCCGGAAGGTAGTGCTCTGTTGTGGCCCCAGTCACACAAGAGGATTTGCCCCACGAAGCGGACAGGTTGAGGACGCATCAAACGGGTACGATCAGATGCCAACATCTGGCAAGCATCACGCCACCGCCCCCAACCCGTCCCTTCTGGCCAAAAACGCGGATCAAAAAGGTACTAGGGAAAATGTAGTACCTACCGGAAGATCCGCAGCAAGGCCGGGCATGGGATCGCAGACGCGCCGGCAGCCCATGTTATTCGAGGGACTGCTGGACTGTCATGTGCAACTGCCGGACTGCACATGTACATGAATACTCCAGCAGCCTCGGCTCACCTGTCTTTGCCTCGCTTCCCCCGGCCATGTGGTCGCGCCGGACAGAATATGCGTGGCAGCTCGGGGGAAGCGTCTGATCCCGATGCCGCGCTTTCCTTTGGTGCGGCTCTAAGAAGCTGCACATCCGACACGGCTTTTCCCGCCGGTGTGACCGGGACCTGCCTGTACCTATTAAATGCGCGTTTGTGGGCCGAAGGGCTGGATCGGGGACGTTTGCATGACGCTTCCCAGATGTTGCAGTGTGATTGCACCCGCTTGATGCACCCCCGATCCGTCCCTCTTGCAGGGCCAATCCTCCCATGTGACCGGGGCCCCAGCCTCCATCTGAGCAAAAAAAGAGAAGACATCTGCAAATGGAGTCTCTGATTTGTCCTCTGGAACTGAGCCTGCTTTCCCTCCCAGAGAGCTATTATGATACTTCAGGCTTTAATAATATTTGCAAAGAGCTTTGATACCTATGGATGAAAAGCCTTCTCAGAGTGCAAAGCCTCAAGCTGGATGTGATGTGCCAAATTCCCCCCGGGGATGCTGGCTCCGAATTCTCGCGTCTTCCGCATAAGTCAGAATCAGAGGGTGGGAAACGCGAAACAAAGGACGATCTACTGGTAAATACAGGAATGAAAGCGAACGAGCGTAAGAGAAATAATAGGTTAAGTACGAATGACAATGCGTGACATTTCAATTCTACCTTTTGAGTTTGGGAAGTGATTGCAGATGTATGGTCACGTCAGGACCGCTCTGACAGCAGCCCTGCAAAATAAGAGAGTATTATAGTCTGATGACGAAGAAAATGAAATGGTTCAAGGTTTTGTATTCCTTGGCTTCATCATCAGCCAAAAGGGAGAGTGCAAATAAGTTATCAGAAGGAGAAGGAAGAAGAAGAAGGAGAAGGAGGAGGAGGAGGATATTGGATTTATACCCCTCCCTTCACTTGGAGTCTTAGAGCGGGTTACAATCTCTTGGCATTTGTCAAGGCAGTGCTGGCAAGCCAAATTAGAAGAGTGTATTTGTATATTAAAGAGAAGAAGGGTTTTTGAAAGAAAACACATGAAAACTACAAAAGGATAAACCCTTTGGACTACTGTGCCACTATCTATTTTGTATAAATATACAGCTTCTTCAGAAGAGGAGGAGGAGGAGGAAGAGGAAGAGGAGGAGGAGGTTGGATTTATTCCTCGCCTTTCACTGGGAGTCTCAGAGTGGCTTACAATCTCCTTTCCCTCCCCCTCCCCACAACAGACACCCTGTGAGGTAAAAGAAGAAGAAGAAGAAGAGATTGGATTTATGCCCAGCCCTTCACTACCCAAAGGAGTCTCAGAGTGGCTTACAGTCTCCTTTCCCTTCCCCTCCCCACAACAGGCACCCTGTGAGGTAGGAGGGGCTGAGAGAGCTCTGAGAGAACTGCCCTTGAGAGAACAGCTCTGACAGAACTATGGCTTGCCCAAAGTCATCCAGCAGCTGCAAGTGGAGGAGTGGGGAATCAGACCCGGTTCTCTCAGATTAGAGTCCACGCACTTAACCACTACATCAAACTGTAGGGGGAAAGTGTGAAAATTAATTAGATAGGTTTTTTTAATTATAGGAGTCACCAACGTGGTGCCTATGGATGCCCTGGTCCCACCAAAACCATTCCTGAAACCCACCAAGTGTTTTTTTTAGGAAAATGGGTGGGGCCAAGGGGAGTACTTGTCCAGCAGGGCTTTTCATGGGCCACTGTTCCTATTTTCTAGGCCCAGTAAAGAACATTTTTTCAGTGACAGCTTCCACCATCTTGTTGGCTTTATTCCCTCCCTCTCCTCTTCCCTAGTTTTGTATTTATAAATTACCCCCTTTCTCTCTTGCACTTCCACTTCTGTGTGTGTGGCTCCGCCTCTAATGGCAGCCATTTTCTACTTGGCTCCTCCTCCTGCAGCAGCCATTTTGTCATTGTGTCTAGCACCCTGTGTCAGAATTCCAACGATGCCCATGGACTTTAAAAGGCTGGGGACCCCCTGTTCTCTTTTCTCAAATAATAACAGATGTCGACCGACGTAGCGTCAAGATGTTCTTTGTCGCTACGTGTCTCTTCACTAGCGAATTTTCCTGATTTTTTAAAAACATTGCACTGCTCAGAATGCAAGAGGCACAGCGGAGCTGTATTTTTCCCCTAATACTCCATATTAAGGATGACTGTAAAACCTAGTGACCTTTAAATGGGATGTGAAAATTGAGTATAATTGAGTGGCATGACTGCTAATTATGTAAAGGGATTAGGAAGCGGAGAGGAATGAACCCTCGCTGACCTGGCGGGCCTTTCAAGGGGCAGGCTGCCAATTTCCCCAAGCACGGTTTGCATGGCGATCCCTCAATGAGGGTTTCAGAATTCACCTTCAAACATATGGGACAAAACTGAGGAAGAGAAAGGAAAGGTTCAGATCAAGGAATACAAATGGCTCTGATAAGGTATAGAAGTGGACAGTGAT